TCTCATCCCCATCTGAAGGCAAGTTGTCTGATACATCCGTACGTTTACAGCTTCTGTAAGCAGACGTACTTCCCTTTGGGTGCTTGACAGCTCCTCCTCCTGCTCTCATCCCCATCTGAAGGCAAGTCGTCTGATACATCCGTAAGTTTACAGCTCCTGTAAGCAGACGTACTTCCCTTTGGGTGCTTGACAGCTCCTCCTCCTACTCTCATCCCCATTTGAAGGCAAGTCGTCTGATACATCCGTAAGTTTACAGCTCCTGTAAGCAGACGTACTTCCTTTTAGGTGCTTGACAGCTCCTCCTTCTGCTCTCATCCCCATTTGAAGGCAAGTCGTCTGATACATCCATAAGTTTACAGCTCCTGTGAGCAGACGTACTTCCTGTCTGATACAGCTCCTCTTCCGTCGAAATTTCTCTCACCTCTTTTATGGCTAACTTTTTGAGCAATTGGTGTGCCACCGTGATCGCACCCACACGTGATACACTTGTAATAACTCGGATATTTTACTACTTTACATTTGCAGGTTAACTTTGGATCCGCCCTTGTTTCCATCTCGACAAGAACAAACACCCAGAGATTCTGGTTCGTTGTCTCAGTGGTTCCTCACAGGTTTAAAAAAAGTTGGAAAATGGTGAGTGTTCCATAGATAATGTTACTACAACACTGCCATGACCACTGTCTGAATTAGGGTAAAAAAATCAAAAGATAAAAGGTTATAATTCAGGTGTCGCTAGTGTACGTCTGTACAGATAAAAGGTTGTACGTCAGGTGTCGCTGTACATCTGAACGGATAAAAGGTTATAATTCAGGTGTCGCTAGTGTACGTCTGTACAGATAAAAGGTTGTACTTCAGGTGTCGCTAGTGTACATCTGTACAGATAAAAAGTTGTACTTCAGGTGTCGCTAGTGTACATCTGTACAGATAAAAGGTTGTACGTCAGGTGTCGCTGTACATCTGAACGGATAAAAGTTTGTACTTCAGGTGTCGCTAGTGTACATCTGTACGGATAAAAGGTTGTACGTCAGGTGTCGCTGTACATCTGAACGGATAAAAGTTTGTAACTTCAGGTGTCGCTAGTGTACATCTGTACGGATAAAAGGTTGTACGTCAGGTGTCGCTAGTGTAGATGATGTATGTTTTAAAAAAAAGACTATTTTAGTTGTATCTATTGTTCAATAAGCTAATAGTTCAGAGTTCTTTCAGTTTAACGTTTGTCTTAAACATTCCACCAGTAGAAAGGATATTTTTTTTTCTCAAGTTACTCACCAGGAGGCAGGATCTAATCACTTATATAGATAAAACCTCCAGATTTTTCACTAGAATTGTGCTTTTATGATTAAAAATTCATCAACATTAGCCGTCAGGAGCAAGACCAAGACTACTAGTTTATTTCCAAGCTGATCTCCCGGGGTAACAAGTTTATAAGAGAGGACCGGATGGTCACCGCACTTCAAGTAGTTACTGACAGTCCAAAGCGCACGAGAGAGAGAGAGAGAAAAGGCACGATGAAATAGCATCAGTAGAAGAGGAGCGCCAAGACCTCAAGGTCGTATTCAAACACCTTGACACGGTATACAATCATGACGTTGCAGTGCATGCGCGAATCTGGCTTCCCCGTGTACCTGAGGCCGCCACAGAAATCAGCCAGATAGCCCGAACGAAACGAAGCGTTAGGCACGATCGAACCTTCTCAGATCAGGATCGGCACGAGCCCCCCTCTGTGCCGCGGTGAACGACGGGCTAAGCCGGATTACAGGTGGGATGTTGCGGGGAAGAGAATATCAGAAACTGCCGACCCATCAACACCAAATTGAAGAAGTAAAAAACATTGACCCACGGACTGGCCACATCGTTCACAGGCGGACGGAGCGAACGGCACGTGCAGAGCCAGAAGCTATTGGAGGCCACCATTACCACCACGTAAGCTTCATTACATAAAAACTAATTCACATAATTTCTTTATTAACTATATTATTATCTTGATGCTGACAGAAGTTGTTATTTAACTTAAAGGCCGACTTCGAAACGGTACAGAAACTATTACATCACAGACAAGTCCACCTGTCGAAAGCGGTAGGTTTCTTTACATTTAATGTACCAAAATTCATTGATCCTGCACGTTTTTTTTGTTTTTTTTATACAGCCAAATTATAGCGATATTCACGTGAGATAACTACATTCTAATTTGTAAGGTGTTTTTTCGTTGCCATGGCGAAGACATTTTTTTTGCCAGTATCAAGTGAATGTAGTTAGCCTTACATTATTTTTCGGGTAACATTGCCCCCCCCCCGGTTTCGATACCCGTGGTGGGCAAAGCACAGATAGCCCATTGTGTAGCTTTGCGCTTAACTACAAAACAAACAGACAAACAATCGGGTATCATTATGTACGGAAGCAAGAGACTTCCTCAACAGGTCCAAGAAACTTGCCCTAAATTTGACCAATATCGATTAGTTGTAACAAAAATTCGGACCGGGCGTGGCCGAAGACTTGTGTGCCCTGGGTGTATATCCGACAATTCATGGCTCTCGTCCCGTTGCCACAAATATTCACTCCACACTTTGGACCGTGGGTGTATTATAAGAGTGACAGACGAAACTCTCTATTTGATCAGACGAGCCAACTAAATTGTTAAGATACTTGAATCAATTACAAATGATTAAGAGGTAGCTGTTGTAGGCTGTAAAACAGGTGTGGCTGTTGTAGGCTGTAAAACAGGTGTAGTCGTTGTAGCCTGTAAAACAGGTGTGGCTGTTGTAGCCTGTAAAACAGGTGTAGTCGTTGTAGGCTGTAAAACAGGTGTAGTCGTTGTAGGCTGTAAAACAGACGTAGCTGTTGTAGCCTGCAAAACAGGTGTAGTCGTTGTAGGCTGTAAAACAGGTGTAGTCGTTGTAGGCTGTAAAACAGACGTAGCTGTTGTAGCCTGTAAACAGGTGGCTGTTGTAGGCTGTAAAACAGGTGTGCTGTTGTAGCCTGTAAAACAGGTGTAGTCGTTGTAGGCTGTAAAACAGGTGTAGTCGTTGTAGGCTGTAAAACAGG